AAATGTGCTAAATAATTGCTATGTGTGGGTGTCGAGCGTAAAATTATCTAATAAGGTGTCTATTGAAATTCTGTTTACCTTTTAACCGACTTTAAAAAAGTGGGTCTCAATTAGACTGTATTTTTTGTATATGACTACCTTGACAATTCATCACTACACGTGTATAAAAACTACAACTACACGAGAATGAAATCTCTCTTGTATGTATATATGCACCTATAAAATAATAATATGTTATTATTTTATAGGTATATAGATATTTATCTAGATGCACTTAAGTTTCATAACGTTGAAGCTAAATTGCTGTGTAATACATGAATCGTATACGCATTCAAACTAATTTCGTATAACTGCATAACTCTCTACCTCTTATAAGTGCTTACAGCTTAGTATATTAACAGATGAAAGGAACGGAAAATATGGTTCCTAACCGTTACGTAGAATACCGCATAGCAACAAAAAGGAGAGGTTTTTAAGACGTGTACTTAGAGGATAATGACACAAGTGAAGTGTAAAACAAAAGACTAATGCAAAATCTATTTTAAAAAGTCATAAATGGAATATTAAAAATCAGCCATATGTTCTCAAATAAATTCTAACACATACTATATATATATTATAATATTGATTGGAATGATTGTATGACAAATAAAAAAGTTAGTAATTACTCGAAACAATTTTAATAAGTTCCGTGTCCAATCTCGAGAGGTTCACACGTATAATCCCAATAACAATTCATGCAAGAAGATCTGGTTTACGATAGACGATAGTACACGAGCCTCAACTGACTCCGACGCACGAAATCTCAATTCCCTTGTGCAACACGTTTAAATAACCGCAAAATACCTTATTATGCGCTTTCCATATAAGTTCCAGCCAATCTAGGCACCATTACGCGCTCGAAGCTCATGATTCTCCTTTGATTTGGAATTCCATCGTCGTAACGTATGTTTCTTTTGTAAAAGCGCAGCTGCCAGAAATTAAACAACAAAGAGATCGCAACTTTTGTCGCGCTAAAACCGAATTTCTTAACGTTTTGTTCCTTTTAAAACGAGTGTCCTTTATAGACATTCTTTGAAATGGAACGCTCTTTGTTGGATCCGGCGTGCGCTCCCCTATATTTCAATAGTAATGAAACATGAAAAATTATATTTGATTTGATAATGAAAATTTTGCCACCGATGCATCAGCTGTGTTTTATGGACATTATTATTTCTAGAATGTAATCACTAATTTGGCCATGGCAACGAATATAGAAAGTCGTAACAATTTTCCAACATGTGTACGGAAAATGTAGCAGTGTAACCAAAACAATGTCTACGTCTCTACGCACGTGTTATGATTGAGAGATAAAAAGATCATGCGTGGTCGCATGTTCTAAATTTAAAATATTGAATTGCGAATTAATGCACTGGCCACATCGTCGCTCTAATAAAAGACTGTTTCGGAGTTTATTTTAACACATTTCGCGCGTGTACTTATAACGGCCGAGATGAAAAACATTCCCCTGCGTTTCATTATTTGTGTTATTTTTAGATTGCGCTCAACCTGCCGACTGGAACGAGTGTTTACTCTTTTGGCTTACTTACATACAATGGTGTTCACATTATTACTCCTTATTATCTGTACCTAATAAAAGCGGCGCGGTAAACAGTCTCAAATAGGTAACTCTGAAAACGCACGGGAGTTTATAATATTCGTAAAGCCGCGTGCACATAGATTGTTGAGAGAGAGCAACACTTTTTGAAGAATACGGTCAGGTTGTGAGCGTTTGACGATCCTATTAAAATAAAAAAGTAAACTAAACACTAGATACACAGATTAAATACTAAAACGCTATGAGATCGACGATACGTAGGTACGAATCTACTCGAATCAATTTGAACGGTTTTTTCGACACCGCAATTAATGTTATTTACTTTCCTTTGAATCAGTGTTTTTCGACTTTTTCATAGCGCGCGACCCCCCTAGTATGTAAAAATATTTTGCGACCCCTTCCACTCCGCGATTCCTAACCTGTATATATTTTTATTTATTTTCATAGTTAGATATTGGTTAAATATAATAAAGTAAATACTTCATTATCTAAAACAGGCATCGATTACGTTGTTAACCTCTTGTTTTTTACGGTTTTGCGACCGTCCGCGGTTCACTTGTAGAGGCATAAGGACTCTCCAGGGGGTCGCGACCCATACTTTGAAAAACACTGCTTTAAAAGTAAAATGTTGCAATTGTGAAAAAAAAATTGTTTTTTCAAATAATGTTGAATTCAATGACTCATTGATGCCGAATGTTTAAATTGTGAGATCGTATTTTAAATTAATTAGGCAGATGCGGGATTGATTACTGACATACTTCAAAGTCAACGTTGTGTGTTGAAAGTTAATGTGCTGATAAATATTGTTTTCCTGATGAATAAAGAGTTAAATTACAATAATAAGGACAACTTAGTTTATATTTACCTCGTTATAGGTGTATACCTACTAGCACTAATATTAGTTTAATTTCTTTATTTATTTTATTAAGCACCAATCCTTTTTTATTTTAGCTAAGTATCTATTAATTATATGTACTGTACTGTTATTTTTATATTTAGATTAATTAGGAAAAATTATTATTAAATATATCAAATATTAAGATAATATATGTTCATGTCTATAGCATTGGTTACCACTTTCCATCAGGTGGGCCGTCAGCTTGATTGCCATTTTAAGCTGCATAGAAAAAACAGTTACATATATTATTATAACTTTTGTTAATGAATTTCTTACCTTCAGAAGAACATATGTTATTTTGCTGATGACATAACTGAAATAAAAAAAAAAAATTCACACGACTTTATCGACCAGTTTAAAATAAATAAATAAACAAGTCCTATAATTTACCATATAATGTTGTATGTGTGCTGTGAGAATTTCACATGCCATTTGTATGAATTCGTATATTAAGTAATTATTTTAATTCCATAAAGGCAACGACAAACGCTCATAAAGCTTAACGCCTATTAAAAAACGCTCTCGCTAAACAACATCAATCAGACGGATAACGCGTCAAATCGCCCGAAGACATTATAAAATTCAACTTAATCGGTAGTCCCGTAAGTATTATTTAATTGTTACTTTGCGGTCAGCCCGAGGCTAGGCACCTTCGTCGCTCGCAACCATGTTGTTTTTATGGCCATTGTCAATTTTATAGTTTAGTACATTACTGGCTGTATCCCGCCGTTTTGCCCGCGTATCGGTATATGAAGTATGCCATGTTTTAAGTAAGGACATACCCTATCACTGTAGCAAATTTCATTGAAATCCATTCAGTAGTTCTTGTATAAAATAGTACCAAACATTCATCTAAATATACATCCTTCATCCTCACGAACTTCATATCTGTAATTAGTAATAGTAAGTAGTAATAGAATTTATTTTTACGGAAGCGTTTAATTATAAACAATTTCATAAAACAGTAAGCCACAATCCATCACAATCCTTTTATACAAACAATACGCCAACAAAAAAGGGGATGTTTAGTGTGTCCGTATACGTTTTTTGGAGCATTTTTTTGGTTCCGCTCCTACCTGACGTTCAGTAACCACGTTAATGTGTTAAGAGGAATAGATGTTTGTTTCCTCCTCTGAACTATGCGGTTAGACAGAGAGGTCGAATGTTTTGCGCGTTCCAATCCACAGAGGTGATCTTTACCCCTATAGACACGGCAGGAAGCCAGTCCAAATCTGGTGTATTTTTTACCGCTTTTCTGTTTAAACGGGGGATAAAATTTGACATGTAGGTACAGACTTGCCGTCTGCAGTACAGAAGATAAGACGCCGTTCTCAATGGTTCGTTGTGCATACCTTTCTCTCGTCTCTAGACTTATGACAGGTTAACCAGATAAAACTGGTTTGGCGTGGGAACATTGAGTTATTTATAAAGTCATTGCAGGAAAAATAAAAAACGCAACATTTCTTACATATATATATGGTTATTGTTAAGTCTATAATTATTCGAATATTAATATTCCAGTCGCGTTAATTGTTATGAGGGACATAGGAAACACTTATGCATGTAATTTATTATGAGACAGTCCAACAATTAAATAATCAATTAGATCGAATATGAGCAGGAAACAATTTTTTTTTCGTACGTGCAAGCTATGAAGCGACGGACGCACACGCGTTACATCGGCGTTATTATAGTAGGTCTCCGGTAATGATTTGCCATGAACGCCATAACTTAATACCTACCACTTCCTTCCGATGCCATATAAATAACGGCTCAGTTCTCCGAACTAACTTAAAAATTATATCAAAACTAATACGATTTTATGTAAAGTGCGCGCGTATTTTATTTTATTTTTTTCATGGATATCGCGCAACAGTAGAAATACGTAAGGTGCTTATTATTCAGATGTATTCTTATGCGCATTCCCTTATGCATTAGCTTTGAAACTAGTTGACCCCACATACAATACGACCAACTGCACATTCTTTCATTACAAGGGTTGTACCACGCTGGGGGCGACAAAAACGAGTTATTATTATTCGTTTAATAATATTCACGGAGAACATTGACCATTCGAGTCGACTAATCGATAAATGCTTATCTATCATAAAGTTGTACCGTTGTCAGAGCAACAATATTTGATTATCAGAAAAGGCGCCAAAATTTTAATTAGTAGGAATAAAAAAATATGCTATTGCGTTATATAGACTTGTGTTCGAAATTCAATTCAGGTTAGGGGTGTCACCGCGTGCAGTCACCCCATATGAGCTCACCACCCCATTTTTAAACGACCTACATAAACTGTCCAGTGAAACCGTTAATGTCTCAACGGGATCGATCGCGTGGACAGTTGTGCAAATAGTTTGTTTGAGGATTACATCTTGGGGGCGTTGCGAGCTTTGACAATCTGTTAGTTTTGTCATGATATTGATAAACAGGCGTTAAGCTATGAGTGTGTTCCTTGTAGAACATTCAGTTTGTTAACAATATTTTATTTCTTTCCAGGTGCTGTCGTCCGGATCGTTCGAGCTTAGGATAAAAAGTTTTACGAACTCATTGGGTAGGTTAAGTAGTGGCCAGTGCTGTGATGGTTCCTCAAGTAGTGATGCGCCGTGTTTGGCGCCGTGCAGGACTAAATTCCGTGTGTGCCTCAAGATTTACCAAGCGAATATTGATACCACGTCACCGTGTACGTTTGGTGATATTACAACACCAGTGTTAGGTGGAAATTCATTGGATGTTCCCAACCTCAATGTGGAGGGATTTAGTAATCCCATCGTGTTTCCCTTCGATTTTACGTGGCCGGTGAGTACTAATATACTTTTCTACATACATACTACACTTGCGTAAACAAAACAACACTTCATTAATTTTGTAGGCATAAAATCAATACATCGTAAAAGAAGCATTAAGTAGCAACCCTACATCAATAAATCAACGCTGTCAATGTTACCAACATTCAAATTCCAATAATCCACGATGGCCAGTGTGAGGCATCCCATTCGCCGTAAATAATAGTAAAAAAGAAATTAAGGGAATCTATATTCAAATTTGACAGAAGCGATGACGATAAGAATACTTGATGGTTTAACGAGCGGCCGTGTGGGACGATTACAACGTTCAATGGTTCATTTTTAATTAATTACGAAGTAGCGTTGTGTATGTCCAGCCACATGTTATTAGAATACTATGTTTAGCCTTCATTGTGGCTTCGTTCTCATCTTCATCGACGATTAAAGCATAGAGGTCAGTCCGGATCGTGATTCGATATTGTAATTACCTGTTATTTATCTACAGATAGCGCTTAAATCTATCTCGATTCCAAGGATAACAGACGTCTTAATTGGATCTTAGTTACGGTTATTTCACTGGCGTGAATTGTCTATGGTTTACACAGCCTCGTGTGGACACTCGAGGTTTCGAGTACTATTTGTATTTTATTTAGCGGCCCGCTTCAAATGTCGTACCGTCTCGTAATGTTTGAACAAACAAACGCTCCTAAGCTCGGCCGCTTGCACAAGCTCGGACCATCTGGAGAAAAACGTGACATTTGGTAACTAAACGGAACTGCAGGTAGAGACCCTGTACTGCGTCATAGACGAAATTTAAGTCTTTTCGGATCATAGACATGCGTCCGGTAACACAGTCACTATCATTTCAAATGAATTGGCGCTAAATTGGAACTTCCTGCTTAAATTCACATGTAATTCTCTATTGCCTGACGGACATATGTTGACATGCGATCAATTGAGCGAAAGTGACGCGAAATAATCCTCTCTATCGAATTTCAAAAATGACGGGCTAAGCCGACTAGTTTGGTGCCGAATTCACGCCATATGTGATATTTCTTCTGGCTACCTACTTTCCAGATGACGTTTTCCATGTGTCACTAAGCGAATTTTGTTATCCCTATGATGTGTGCCATACCGTTTCAACTTCAATTTAATCTGATATTATATAAAACTTATGCATAGCTCGGATTATAGGCTGAGTTGGACTTTTTTCTCACAATGAGGTCATCGTTGGCTTGAGAAGTGCCTGTTTTACGAGGCATATCGCCCATAAGAATAAATATGTACCACGTAATGTATTATATGGGTGCACGTTCCGCGCGCTGCGTTCGTGACTCGCTGAGCAGGTGAACGGAATTCTGCTTTACAACGACCAACAACGTTCGATATTCGAAATTGACATTTAATTTACTCATCGTCGAGTGCCGTGTTGGCCAGCATCACAATATTTTGAAACACGAGCCTCCGGTCGGGTCTCCCGTCCCGTAGCAGGTCCGGTTGTATTTCAATCCTGTTCAAGTAATTTAAAACGCAACTGCATCTGAACACTTATCTGATCGAGAAATAAATCGGTGCTAGGCCACGTTCATACTTAGATTTGACCCAGCCGATAATAGGTCATGAGCATATTAATATTACTGACAACATCGAACAGTAAAATTACAAGTAAACCGGCGCGCGCGTTAACGACGCATAGAAACGATTTATCATACAGCATTTAAAGAAAGAGATGGCTCACTCCAAAAAGAAATCTCATTTGTATTCAACCGCTCGTCTCGGCGGTGGGTTTTCATTTATTTTACTCTTAAACAATTTGTGTTTGTAAATCACATGTTTTATATTGTAATGCATATCTTCGTGAAGTCCGTTAGAATGCCCGGATGTCAATGTGAGGACCGGATTATGAGCGAAGCTTCGCGCACGTATACTCGAACTATTACCGCGCTAGTCACAGAGTAAGGTTAATGGTACAGGGTGCTTAATTGTACCCTTGCCTTGTTGGGTGGCCGCTCCCCTCTATCGTATGAACAGGCTCATTCAGCAGCACGAGGTTAATCCAAAGACCGTTACACGCTGTCTTTTTAATGCGAAAAAAGAAGCTATTTTACACTTATGCAATGGGTACTTTATAGAAACACCTGCTGTATAGAGAGACAGTGTAAATGTCAGAGTGTATTTCCGCGCATGTGCGGACCCGACTGCCCGAGCTAGCTGCGCCTGCGCCGTAATCGCACATCATCAGTATCTCGTTATTCTAACACGATACTGGCCCTGAACTATACTTTTTATGGAATCACTAAAGATCCGTATTGCGTGTTGATGATATTACTCATCGTTTGTATTGTCAAACGTTTTATCTCAATAAAATGACCATCTTCCATTGTGTTCTCAGATATAAATGATTAACGCTTACGGCCATTTTACATTTATGCCAGTGTTGCTAGAACGATTAAATTCTAATAAATCCATATATCATCCTTGCCATTGTATTTTAAATATTTCCTGAACTGGCGCTCCCGTTGAAGAAATAAACCATTTCAGCAAGGCACTTTCCCACAAAGCGTAGTCGGAAGGTCGGTCGACTATGGGCCCTATAAAACATGATACTTAACGCGGCCCTCACACAATCCTGTCTTTGATTTAGGGTTGTTACAACCACATACGTGCTGTCAATCTCAATAGATAATATGAGAGATAAAATATATAAGTATGTACTTCATAGTTTTGTAAAAAGATAAATCTGCATTCATATATTCTGAATTTCTCAGTTAAATCCAAATGATAACGTTTTATTAGTTTTATCAACTTTTATCTAACATAGTTTAAAATGTAATTTAGTGTCAACCCTATATCCGGAAAGCATTATTTTCTCGTATCTGGCAAGAGTCAAGAGTATATATTATATCCAGTTTTATTTGTTAGCGTGAGACTACATTAGAAACAAACGCGCACCAACTTAATTAAGGTTAATTAAATTAATATCCAAAGACACCTACCTAGTGGTAGTCATATTTGTATCTTTATAATATATAAAATTTTGTTCTCAGTGAGCAGCAGAGCGAGGAATGTTCTCCAAAGCGAATGATCCCAAAATGTATTATATTTTAGACGCTTGCCTTGAGAAAATTTTGCTCATTGTCAATTTACTTTTGAAGTTAATTAAACCCATTCAAACATACCATAGGTATAATAAAAAAGTTTTTAAAACGTATTTCGTAAGAGCTTATTGAAAAGGGCAGTAAATAAGCTCATTATCCGTCTGATTAATGTATTTGTGTCATTTAGCGAGGAAACATGCATCTTTATTGTGGAACAAGTAGACTAAGCAACGGCGTAACTAATTCGAGAGATTGTTACTTATTTTGCATGTTTCGTAAATAGTTTCACGCTCTAAATAGTGGCATTTGAATGAAAGTGTGGAATCGCCTTGGTTAGCCTAACCACATGTGGACAGCGGTTTGGAAATTATTGCCTTCTTTATTTATTTTTACTAAATATTGAAGGAATTCTTTTAAATTACGTTAATTAGATGTAATTTCTCAATTTGAAAATGAAATATAATAAAAAAAGTAGTAACTAGGCATGGGTGATATCTGTATCACTCTAATATATCCAGTAAATATATATAAATATATATTGTTTTCCTCTGGACAATGATGACGGGAAAAGAGTCATCACCTATTTTAATATCCATACCAGCCCAACACCTATATTAATTTCGATCGGGTTCTTTATAATATATTTTAACTATATATTGTACAACCGGTATTTAATATACCCTTTATTAAGCTAATATATACCTATTGTAACTATATATATATATATATATATATATATATATATATATATATATATATATATATATATATATATATATATATATATATATATTTCGCGATATTACCCACCCCTAGTAATAACGCGAAATAGCGTAACATTTAATAAAACCGTTGATTTCGTAGAAATTAACGTTCCAATGACGTCACATGTTGATTCGAATATCAAAACAATAGTACGGTAAAGCACGCCACGAGAACATACTGCCGTTTGTTATCCATTGTCGCTTATGTGAACTCTGTCACTTTTTACTCTTCTAACGGCTTCTCCAATAGAAAGTAATTAACAGTCCGCATCGCATCACGCGGTGAAACACGAAATATATCAGAGTAAGGAGTAGAAGGCGTCAAATTATAATTGCATTCATTAATAAACAAACACTCCGCATTATTATTCAATATGCGAGCTCGTTATATAAGTTTCCACACGTTGGAAAAACTGCAAACCTTCGCGCGAATCGTCGGCTTGTTAGGTTCACTCTAAGTAGACGTTTACTGTAATATAATTCTTGGGACGCAGAGCAATACAGACTACGTCGTGTGTAACTTCCGCATATATTTTTTTTTTTTTTTTATAAAAAGAGAGCTCGTGGTAATTTCCTTTATTTCAATCCGCTCGCGTCGAGATCCTCTTAAAATACTTACCCCTACATCCGCTTCTTTTAATAAAGTCTACCGAAGCTATGGAATGCCTCGTTCGATCTTGTTCCCTCTTCGACGCCGTCTTTTATCTCAGTCGGACGAGCGGCAATTAATGTTAAACAAAAAAGCATCGCAAATGAAATTCCCCGTAACAGTTTGAGGATCACGACAGCATGTATGAGCCATTACAATACCACTTGTAGCCGCGATTTCATAAGTTTCAAATTTAAATAATCGGAGCGTGTATAATTAAAACGCTAGTTGCATTGTTCGGAGCCACTGCACAGCTATTTCGGCAACCTATCAATTAACGAGCCCACCTTTTCTGGTAAATCCGCCTAAATAAACTTGTTACCGCATAATACGATTGGACGTTCCAATAATTTCGGGCACGTCGATGCTAAAATAACAACTTAAAGAAATTGGTCAAGTCGAGATCCTAATAACGATTAGTCATAGACAACGAGATAAAGAAAATAAGCTCATCAGCGCAGTGAATAGACAATAAACTTTACTGGTCTTGTTATTACAACGC